CAGTAATTTGCAGACTAAATTCAAAAAACATGGAAAGTTGGTGGATACAAGTGGATACAACATCTTCAAAGTCACCTTGGGTGGGGATAGGTGGGCTAAGCCCATCTGAGTAAAGCATGGGTACCTAACTAGGACTCCATGTAGGGCTTTGATGAAAACTTCATTGGGAGGCTTTTAAGAAGTTTCTCAAGTACTTGAGAGGATTAGTTGACAAAGCTTTTTATTTTAGAAATGTAGGGATTGATCTAAAGGAGTATGTTTTGATCTTGCTGTAGATCTTGATTGTAGAAGAAGCACAATTGGTTATATCTTCACTGTGGGAAGGATTGAAGTCAATTGAACTTTTAAGTCATAGAAGATTATTATGCATTTAGTAACAGAAATTGAGTACATTGCTATCATTAAGGATAACAATGAGATTATATGGTTATAAAGTTTCTTGCCAAAACTTGACTAAGGGGAAATGAATGAGAAGTTGCCTAGTGATAGAATGAGTGTTATACATCAAGCTTGATGCATTCCATTCGAGGAAAAAGCACATCAAGCTTCAATATTATTTCTTCAGAATTCTTCTAGAAAAAGGTCAATTATCTTTGGAGAAGATTCAGACGAATGAGAATCTTATAGGCATGCTAACAAATATGGTTATAGTTGATAAACTGAAGCTACATATAATTTTAACTAGTCTTTATGAAGGATGAGAGCAAGGGTGAGCCACATCACAAGTACTATGATCTATGATGCACTGACACTCCATAAGAGGGAATGGAATATTGAACACATGTCTGACATAGACATGCACCCGACACAGCTACGATATGTATCAGAAATAATAGATCGTGTCAGATTAAAATAATATTAAATTAAAAAAGACATGCGTGTCCTCATATTTAATAATTAAATTTATTTAAACTATAAATTTTTTATATTTTAATATTCTTTTAATAATTAAATTTATTTAAAATGTCTATATCAAAGTATTCACATCTTAGTGGCGCTTGTATGCTCTAGGATTTTCATTTTCATGATCATGTCTTCATCATCTTCTTCCTTTAAGCGGCGAACTGATGAGTGAGCTACTATTTGATTAAAGCCTAGTTTATCCTCATTCCCTCATCTTCTTTATCTTCTTGATTCGTTCATTTTCAACACTTCATCAATTTTGCAATGAGAAAAATCCAACCGAGCAGGCGATGTCTCAATTTGAGGTTTAAAACATTCCCATTGAAATAGTTCTATTGTTCTTCTCTTCATTTCCACTTCCAAGAATATGACTCATTCATTTTCTTCATTTTTGCAGGCACCAGGCATCAAAGCGTTCCAACTTTTGTGTATGCTCTGTCAAAGGTAAAGGATGGTTCAATTGAGCTATTGTTCGATTGAATACCAGCATATCCCCATTCCCTCATCTCATTCATCTACCCAATTCATTTTTTTACACTTCATCAATTCTGCAAAGAGACAAGGCCAACTAAGCAGGCAGTTTCTCGATTTAAAGACAGAGGAGGGAGAGTGAGAGAGATATGTTCAACTGGAGTATAGTTTATTGGCTTTTTTATTTCCACAATCAAGTAACGAACTAGATTAATTATTCAAAGAAAAATAACTATTTATATTTATATAATATCTTAATCTACAAGTCATATTAAAATTGTATTGTCGTGTATGCGTCATATGTGTGTCTTATATTTTCAAAAATAGTCACGTTCCATGTCCGTGTCATGTCGTGTCCATGTCGCTATGTCTGTGTCCATGCATCTTAGACTATGATTAATGCTACAAATCTTGAGAAGGAATGATCGCAAGTAGTTTTCTAGCATGAGATCTTTAGTTTTGGGTGGAATTATATTATGTCGATCAATCGGGTTGCAATGTTGCCATGGGCCTCATATCTAAGCATGATTTTGGGTGTTTTGCACCAGAAAAATCTTTTCGGTATAATTGTACAGCACTATAGTTTTGTGTACTAGAGCATTGAGGTTCTTTATTGTCTAGTTGGAGGATGATAGATAGTGAAGCGCTACGGTGATCTAGGCCTCGACTTTCAGGTGCTGCAAGGGAGCACTGCAGTACTTCAAACCCCGGCACTGTAACTCTGTCTTGCAGATAAGAGTAAGAGAGTTTAGCATCGTGACACTCCAAACTTAGCATCACGGCATTGCAAGCTGGTGTTTTAACATGTCTCTTTCTTATTTTTCATCAAGGGTTGGGTAACTTGGTGGTTCTTACGATTTTTTTGTTTGTTCTTATATAAGAACAGTGCAAAAATGAAGAGAGACAAGGAAAGAATGAGAGAGAAGAGAGATCTATACTATTTCTCTCAAAAATTTTATAGTGAATTTCATGATGTGGTGTGAATCCATGATTTTTTCTTGGCTTAAAAAATTTTCACGTTCAATCCTAAAGTTTGTTCTATTCACAACATTTTTCTTTCGTATTTATGTTTGTTGCATGATTTAATTTTCCAACAAAATCATTGATAAGATAGTTTTTAATAGTAATTAATCAATAAATATAATGAATAAAAATTACACTATTTCTACCGTACAAATACTATCATTTTATATTTCAACCTTCATATCATGCCATACTTTTTAGTGGATTTAGAGTACGTTTAAAAATATATATTGTATTTATTAGCAGTGTTGCGTCCTGGAGTATTCACGACAGTAGAGAAATATATAGTTTAACGTCTTAACATTGTACGAAGATCCAGCACTCAATTAGATAAGAGAGAGGGTGTGGCGTTCGCAAGAGACACCAGAGTTTTTACGTGGAAAACACTGAAAAAGGGGGAAAACCATGGAGCCTGGCCCAATTTGAATGAATCTATTATTATTTGGAGTCAATAACAAATAAGGCCCTTAGGAGAAGGCCTTAGCTTGATGTCACAAATGTACATCATATTGAGCGCATTACATGGTGGGAGTTACAATAATCAACATAGATGTGATTGTTTGGTCGGCACGACCATAGTCAATAGGATAGAAGTCGAAAAGATTGTTGTCTGGTGATGGAGGTCAAAAGGATCATAGTAGACAGGAGACAGAGGTTCGAAAGATCGTAGTTAGTAGTAGCCCGAGGTCAAAAAGATTGTTGTCTGGTGATAGAGGTCAGAGGGACTATAGTAGGCGACACAGGTCGAAAGGATCATAGTCGGCAGGAGACCTGGTGGAGAAACGACGTCAGGCGGTGGTCCGACAGAGGTGAGGGCCTCAAGTGGTGGTCCGGTGGAGCAACGGCGTTAAGCGGTGGTCCGATGGAGGTGAGGGCCTCAAGTGGTGGTCCAACTGAGCAACGACGTCAGGCGGTGGTTCGACCGAGGTGAGAGCCTCAAGTGGTGGTCCGGCTGAGCAACGGCGTCAGGCGGTGGTCCGGTGGAGGTGAGGGCCTCAAGTGGTGGTCCAGCGAAGCAACACAGTCAGGCAGTGGTCCAGAAGTGGTGAGGGCCTAAAGAGGTGGTCAGGCATAGCAACGGCATCAGGCGGTGGTTCGACGAATGTGAGGGCCTCAAGTGGTGGTCCGACAGAGCAATGGTGTTAGGCGGTGGTCCGGTGTAGGTGAGGGCCTCAAGTGGTAGTTCAGCGAAAATCCGGTGGTGGTCGAGGAGGAGCTTATTTCTTCTCTTCCTTCTCTTCTTCATTCTTCTCTTCTTGCTTCGGTCCCCTCTCAATAGAAATGAGGGGTCTATTTATAGATTTTCTGGAGTGGCATGTTCCGTACATAGATGAGAGATCAGGGGAAAATATGGAGTGATTCGGATGAACGACCGATATTGAATCCTTCAACCGTGGATCGTTTATCAGATATTTGAAGGTCTTAATGACTTCTAAATTTGGCGATCTTGGGCTCGTTGGATTCGTCTCCTCGAGCCGCTCGATTCTACTATAAGGTCGTCAAGTTTGGAGACCGTTTGGTAACACAAATTGTGGTACGAACTTTTCAACAGCACCTCAGGTCCTTGATTTGGACTCATTTGGGCTCGGATTGAGTCAAATTTGGTGTCGTTGGGTTCGTATTTCCGAGACGCTCAGTTTGATTATAAGTTTGCTAAAATCAGAGTTCAAATGATCTCGGATTTAATTTTTGAAGTTTCCAGCTTTATTTTTGCCTCGAGATTCGTGCCCGATCAAGATAATTTTGTTGTTATGATATATCAAGCAGATATTTTTTCCGGACTGGGAATGCGTTACAGTGTTGAATAATTTAGATTATAACAAAACACATCCAAACAAAAAACTTGTATTTATTGTTAACCCACTAGAACGAAACGTGAGTGAAATTAGGAATAAAAGGATGAAAACGGAAAAAATAATTGTCTCATTTCGAATGATCAGCCTTAGAGAATCAGAATAATAATGGGCTTGAACGTCTTGGGGTTTCATTACCATTATAATTTTTTAAAAAAATGATTGTTAAAGTTGTTATGGGAAGAAGCAATTATATATATAGCAATTTTTTTATAATTACTATAAATATTAATATAATTGATAGTAGAAAGTAAATTTTTATTATAAACATTAGTAAGAAAATACTATTTAAATAGAAATATAATTGTGATATGAAAAATAAATGCTTCTAATAGACTCTTAAAACATGTTGTAATACAATTATTTTTGGTTTGTTAGTCGGGAGTTTTGATTATCAACTAAAAAGTTTTAAATTCAAGTCTTAATTATGTAATATATATATATATATATATATATTATATTAATTTTTTTTTATAAGTATGTAATATATGAGTTTATCTTTATTGACCTAAGTGCCCCTAAAAATAGACATGCTGCAACTTCGTAAATACAGCTGATAACATGGAATATCATTTCATTTCCTTAATATTTGTTAAAACCAAATATGAACAAAAGAAATAATATAAATCATGTTTGGCTGGAGCTTTAAAGAATGCAAGTTTAAATGGTTTAAAAGAACGTGATGATACTTTGTATATTAATGAAATATATTTTTGAGCTATGTCAATAAAAATAATACAATCTATTTACCTGTGTTTCCCTTGATATAACATTTGCTTCTGGAGCCCCATAGCTGCACTTTTGGTACCGTTCTAATGTCTTCAGCATACTGGTGGAATACATGAAAAGTAACGCAGCAAGTTAAATTGCAGAAAGCTAGAGGAAACATCAAAATATAAATATAAAAAAAAATGATGTTTCCAAAAGTAACGCAGCAAGTTGGTAGTACGAAATTGTTGCCACGTATGCCACTTTTATGAAAGTTGATGTGGAACTTTTCTAAATTCGTAAATTATTATCAGACTTTTCCTATCTCGTATCCATTACAGCTTGGTAGTACAAAATTAGATACTTTTTTTTTGAGACATTTAGGTCATTTAAGACAAATTCATACACACAACGCATACGCAGACTTGAACCCAAATCCTTTTAGTTGGAAGCCTAAGCTCTCAACCAACAGACCAATATGAGCTGTGTCGAAATTAGATAATTCACCAAAATGTAAGATATTATGAGCAAAATCAGTTATTTCACGCTGGAATAGGTTGCTTAAGGGAAAATACCTAATTCCTAAGTTAAGAATCATTTCTAAAAGCTCATTGTTTTCCATTCTCCTACAAATTTCTGAAGGCTTTACCCAAAAAAAAATTCTAAAAGCTCAACATTTTGCATTGGCGACATATATTATTTTAAGCATGCATACTGAATAGAACTTAATCAGGATTAATGTTACAAATCTTGAATTTACTTTAAAATGATGTGTATGAATAATTATTTAAGTTTTATATTACATTCATCTAAAAATGGTGTCCGTAAGAATAATAAATTAATTTTTACATTACATTCATCTCAAACAAAATTAAAATATTTCAAAATCCATTTAGTTTAAAATAGGTTAGAATTCTATCACCCAATTATTTTTTCATTTCAAAAATGCACCTTATCAACTGCCATACAATCAGCTTATGCGTTACTAACTTGATAATAAATATTTTTTGGCCCTTTAGCATTAAGTTTATGCGAAATATTGAATTAATTATAGATGTATTTGTGACTGCAGAATTAATCATAACCATTAGCAATTAGCATAATAATGAAAACGTCCAGCATGCTAGGGTTGTCAATATGCATTCACAACTTATTTCTTTGTTAGTAACTCAGCAACATATTTCTTGAATCTACTCTGAAAGCGTAGGCTATTTTTGCATTCACCAACACGCACCTATTCAATCTCGACAAAAATGTTGGTAGGGCAAGCCCTTTTATCATTTTTTATTTTATTTTACAAAAAACTATGCTTATCTCATTGTTTTCCATTCTCCTAAACCTGGATGTAGAACAGTTTTTAGAAGAGTAACTTGACTTCAAAATAGAATAATAAAAACTATAAAACATAATAATTAGTAGGAAAGAACATTAGTTAAGTATAGAATTATTAAACAGCGAAAACATTGTAAGCATGAAAGCAGCCAAATTTAGTAGAAACTTTTTCTGCATATTTTAAAGCCCAAGTCATCCAAAAATGTTTTTATGAAATGAAAAGTAATGAAGTAATGTTATTCATCTTCTACTATCATCTGAAGTTATCAATGGTGAAGTTTCATAAAAAAAAATATGTTATTTTATCATGGAAAAGTTAGTAATGCAAGCTTAAAGTAGTCATTAAATAAAAGCTAATTGGCTTTAGATTATTTATACTTCAGATGATAGTAGAAGATGAATATTCAAGCTAGCTTAAGTCCAAATTACTATTCTATTATGAGAAGTTCAAGAGTTAAATCAAGATGCATGAATGGATGTTTAAGAGTCCAGATGTATTAGTGGATATTTGGAAGTCAAGTTGCATTAATAGAAGTCCAAGAGTAAAGACACATGAATGAACATTAAAGAGTTAATCAAGATGCATGCACAAAAAAATTATGATGCGTCTTTTAAAATCTTTGAATAAATAAAATCATTTGAATAATTTCAGCATAAGATGCATCTATCTTAATTAATCCTTCTTTTTCTTATTATAGTTTTAATGTATTAAATATATCCAAATATTATAAATAAGCTTATGAATGATATATAATATCATATTATGATGATTTAAGTTATTTTGAAAACCTTTTTTATTGGCTTAATGGTTATGTTCTTAGGGTAGGCTTTGTTGCTCTCCTCCACCCCTTTCTTTTTTTTTTTCAGATTAGATAAATATTACAATATTATAAAAGTTTAATCACATTTATTTATTTAGTTAACTTTATTTATATCCTCTCTTATCTTATGGAGTTCTAACACTCATTCCCTTACCTTATTAACTCGAAATAGTCTAGAATTTGTCCCCTTATGTATCCACCACCTATAAACACATAAAAAACCATTAACAATGACATGTACATTTTTTTCCACCTACCCTAATATGATAACTGAGCCTTCATCTCGTCCAAAGATATATAAATCATTGATATAAGCTCATTGATCTCAACCAAAATCATAATTAGCCTAGACTTAGTTGGGGCTCTCGATCACTATTGAAAACTAATCTCTTCCTAATGTTTTTTTTTTCACCAAAAACCTTATCCAATAGCTCCATTAAAACCTCTATACACCATAAAAACATCCCTCTCAAATCATTATAATTAAAGGTCCACCACTTATTCTCTATCATAGAAATTAAGTTTCTTAAAGAGGAGATTGCTACTATTAACATAATTGTTATACATATGAAAAATGATATTATTTTTTAAAGGGAGATGATACTTGATCTTTATGGTAAAATTCATTATTCTAATGCACTTTTATATCATAATCATGGCAAGCTAATCTTAACTTCTTAGGCTATGTTATAATTTCTGACTAAGCAAATGTGATAAGTTTTGTATGGGTTAGTTACAAGATCATGAATAAGTCTCATCAATTTGGATGAATTATTTAGTAATTAAATAAAATATTTCACATAATTTCAAAAAGTTAGGTAATTAAAAAGTATTAGATAACCCAATCTCATTCAAATCAATCTTGGTTGGCCTCTCTTCCTCTATATAAGACTTAAATTAAATAATATTGCTAAGCCTTTTATGTTTATTTTTAATGCAAATAATCTCATTTAATTATTTTATAATTGTCAAATATAAACTTAAAGATTATATTCTTTCTTAAGATGTCATATTTAGTAAGAGATGAACGTAAGGGAAAATCTATTGAATATAATTTTTCTTTTCAAGCATTGTTAGAAAATTAAAAAGATTAATCTTATGAAACTACCATTACATAATTATCATGGCCTCTACTACACCACCATGATCCCGACTCTACCAATCACTGTCACCATCATTTTTTCAACCGCACCACAGCCTTATTTTGTAGTCAAAAATTTTCCCCCTCCAACATTTACTCTTGCCACTCTATTTGGATTAACCATTTTTGCTATCCCTTTAAGAAAACCATCTACATATAACCATATTTCCTATATATATCCATGCTAATACTTGCACCATTTTATTATTTTGGGGTTTCTATCTATCTCTTTTCCTCTCTAATTATCCTTTAAGAACAAATACCTTGCTAAATAAAACTAATGGAGTGTATACCTACTACACGTAAGCACATATCATTTATTTAAAATAATAGTAACACATAAGAATTTAATGTGATTATTTTTACAAAATTAGGTATGATTATCTTCATTGATTTCTTTTTTTATCAAATTCAATTCTACATGTTAGATTCACTTTAAAGACTAACAAAGAAAATTAAATATATCCTAATGAATTAATTTGATGCTCCTTTGCATTAGGTAATAATATATCTTAAGGAGTTTATAAAATGTAATTTTGTAAAAAAAATATATATAATTTTGAACATTTAAGATTTGGATTTAACTTATTTTTTCAAAAATAATTATGATTTGAAGATTAAAAAAATTATTTTGCATTGTAAAAGTGCTTTTAATAGCTTTCCTATTAACATCACCAATAGATCTTGAGGAATTTTGAGTGATGAAACTTAGTATGCAAGCTTGTCTGTTTAATTACTAATATCAAAAAAATTTGGAGAAAGGTTTTAGTGCATTGGGGAGGGTGTGCTGGTGAGGTTATGCATATTGTGGGGAGTCTAAAGAATGTGAAAAAGATAGAGAAGAGCAAATAAACTTGTATTTTTTATTTGGGAGAAATAGGCATCTCTCAATATACTTATTGCTATATTTCACACATTATATGAAAAAAAAGACGAGCAATAATTTTTATTAGTGTTTTAAGTAATTTTTTAAATAAATTAATAAAATAGATAATAGAAGAGAGTTTAAATAAAGATTCTAATGAACCCATCATAAGCAGGCAAACCAAGTTGGTAGGCAACATATTCAAAAACAATTTAAATAAGTATGATTTATTTAAAATATGACTGCTAATCTTGTAATATTTTAAAAATTACATACATAATATTCTTTAGTATGACGAGTATATAAAATGAGAGGCATATGAAGCAGATTTATTCGAAAAGGGATATTTAAGTAGAAAATCTCAAAAATTAGTTTATGGATGTGGATGCATGACCATGAAGGAAAAACAAAGAGGAGAGATCATGAATAAGGATCTTAAGGAAAAACTTATGATGTTGCGTCCTCCTATATCACTTTTCCTGATTATATAGAGGGTGAGCAAAAAAATGATAGCAATTAGTAGTTACTATTGCAATGAATTTATAGTCTTATATGAATGTCTACATGCAAGCATATGATGATATCTCTATGTAATAATATAGTATGATGGGATAGACGAAGAAGTTGATGGTGAGAAAAATATTGGAAGAGTAGAAGGGAGTGAGGAAAGGAGTGAGTGAGGACAAAAGTAAATGAAAAACAAACCTGTGCTAAATTATAATAACTCTATTTTTTTTTTAAGTTTATTTTATTTTTTTATATTTGATTATGTTATTCTTAAATAGGTGGATGCTACTATTCAGCTTCATTAATTAAAATATATGTTTTACTACATTTGAAGGATACTATGTATATGATTGAATTATTAGAAAATATACTATTAGAAAATAATATCAAGTCATTGATAGATTTTCCACTATTAAATCAATCACTTAGTGGAAAATGTTTTAGTGTATAGTGATGGTTTGTTAGTTGAATCTTCTAGTAAATTCTCTTTTTGACCCTTTGGGCGATTAATCTGCTATTAATACAAGTTAGTTTTCGGCTATACGACTAATAGAAAGTATTAGTGGTCCCATCCATAAAACATCTATCAAAACTCATTCATTGAAAAGTTTTGATCATCAAAATTATTTTTGTAGATGATTTTTCTCAAAAAGTTCTTCAAAAATCTATAATTAAAAAAAAAAGATTGTTTAATTTTGTAGAAGACTGCCAACTTTCTATCCTCTAATGTGACCATTTTTTGCAGTTGGTGTTAAGTTAATAGCCTATATTAATGGCTTACATTTGTAAATGTGGCTAAAAATAATCAATAGAAGTTTGATTAAAGTTTTATATGTAATTTGATATAGTTTATATGGAATACAAACATTTTGCTAGCTTTTTTAGTGGTTTTAAAGAAGGATAATCAATTATAAGATATGATATAGTTTCAATCAAAAATGAATTTATGATGAAGTAATTGTTATATTTTGTGGTGAGTTTTTCTATCAATTAATATTTCTTGATAAAAAAACGGGATTTTTACATACATAACACTTTAAACTTCTCTATTTACTTATCTAACACCCAAACTTCTCTATTTACTGTTTAACCACCTAAAATACTACTAGATTATCTAAATTACCACTACACCGGAATCGTCCCGATCGAGCAACTCCACGTCGCCAGCACCAGTCGTCATCTCCACGCTTGTCTTCTCCAGGCGAACATCCCATCCGACGTCCGATTCAAAAATTAGGTGCTCAAGCTGCCCACACCGGTAGTCTTCTCCACACCGTATTCGCTCGAGCAGCTCTTTCCGCACGACTCCACCTTCCTTATCTTTGGACAGAGTCGCTCCAAGCTTTTTTCGCCTCAACTGTAGATCTCAACTTTCCTGTTCTTTCATGACTAATTTATTGTAATCCCTTGTATAAATTTAACATGAAAATCAAAATATCATGCAAATCGTGGAACAGAACATCCAGGAGACAAAATCGGAAATACCTGTTGCAGAAAAACTACTAATCCGATGGCGGAGGAGCAACGATATCATGAGGGCCACCTCCTCTGTGCCAACAACTGCGGCTTTTTCGGCTCGCCGGCCACCATGAACCTCTAGTCCAAGTGCTACCTCAACCACCGACTCAAAGAGGTGCAAGCCACTTTCGCCAAGATCGCCGTCAAAAAATTCTTCCTCCTCATCGGCGTCGTGGAGTTGCTCGATCGGGACGATTCCGGCATAATGGTAATTTAGATAATCTAGTAGTGTTTTAGGTGGTTAAACAGTAAATATAGAAGTTTGGGTGTTAGATAAGTAAATAGAGAAGTTTAAAGTGTTATGTATGTAAAAACCCCTAAAAAAACTCATAGTTCGTTTCAAAGGATGATCCTTTGTCAATTAATTTCTAACGAGAATGCCATTGTAATATGTACCTATAATTTTTGAGTCATAAAAGCAATCATAGGGTTATGACCAAAAATCCAAAATTGTTTTTCGCAAACAGATATCTCTTTTGCAATTTATGATGGATTATCCATAAACTTTTATAAATGTATGTCAAAAATTCCATCAACATAAATTATATCGCAATTCAAATTTTGACAAGGGTTTTATCAGAACCTCGTATTTTGTTATAAGACTCATCTAATAACAAAAAAAAGGATTTTTACTCATTTTTAACAAAAAAATCTTTCGCAGAGAGCATGCCTTGTGGTAAACCACTTGATTATAATTTTCTAAATATGGCATATATCTACGTAGTTTCTCTGTAGGCATGCATGAAGTTATTTCTTGCATTGATGATTTGTTTATTTCGAAAGAAATATAACACTCTCAAGATTTGTTGCAAGAGATTTTCGCCATTTGGGGGTAATGTAATCTTAATTTTATATATTCTTTAGGTTTATCTTTTGTTGAGAGCAGATGTACTAGTGATTTGGGAAGACCTAAAAGTGTATTTGCATTAAAATAAATCTTGTGGATTTTATATTTTTTAGTGAATAGATTAATTTATTCTCCCAAATGGTCAAAAGCAAAATTGAGGTTGAAACATATAATTGTTATTCTCTCCATTTATTTAATAGCATTAAATGTAACTTTTGCGGTCGTTCTATTCTCTTCGGCTAATACTTATATTTGAAATATTTGATGGCCTTCGCACAATTAAAACAAAAAGGACAACAAATCAACTAACCCTATAAGGAGATTTATTTTATTTATATTTATTAAAGTCGAATTAACTTAAACTGATTATGAAAAAAGAGATAATCAACTTCACTTTTAGGTTGGCGTGGTCATTAATGTGGATTCGACCCTTCCTTAAAATATCATCTAAAATACCGTGAAGCGCTCTACAGACTGAAGGGCAAGTGCTTCGGTTGGTTTTCCACAGCAAGCGAACAAAAGCTGGACCTTATTTATGGTGGAGAAAAGGACAAACCATAATACTAGGAATCACATTAACTGGATGTGACTCCTAAAGCTGTGAAACATAAGAGAAACCATGCATAGATTTCTCATCGGTATGCTTTTCCGACACCAACCAATCACTTCGTCCTTCAATCAAGCAGCACACGAAATCCAATCAACGCGCGCCGAAACAAAACACTGCATCTTGGCAAAGCCAATATGGTTGGACTGACGAAAAAAAAAAAACTACAAAATATAATAAATTAATTGCTTATGTAAAAAATGCTATAGAAATTCAGAAAACCAAAACCATAAGAGACTTAACTATAGAAAAATGGATAATCTTAGTCCGATATAATTTAAGCTACTTTTGAAGAAAGTTTGGCAAAGCAGATCTTCAGGCTTTTGAGTATTGTGTTTTGTATTCTCTATGTTAATCGAATTAAGGTGTAAAGGAGTAAAAGGAAAATGAAAAGAAAGGAAGAAAAATGGACTCCATTTCTAGCTTAGAAATAAACAACTAAATTTTCGAGAAAAATATAAAGGAACCCCAGACTGTCAAAGACGCCGGTCTAAAACCTAAAGCAGTAGAGATCAGAAAGAAACATGGCTTTCACCTAGTATTGTTGTTTCTTCCAAAAAAAAAAAACCTAGTATTGTTGACGTGCACCCAAAGCAAAACAGACTTTTTACTTTTGTTACACAAATCCGCAACCCTATACTCTAAACTTCAAGGCACGACCAAAGCTAAAATCACACAGTTGAATAACCATAAAACAAAGGGGCAAAAGAGTTAAAAAACAAGCAAGAAATTAGGAGAGCCTAAAGTAGAACCCAGTTCCAAATGCCATCGGGTTCTTTTTCTCAGCAGATCTACTCCTTTCCTTCAGTCTTTCACGGAAATGGAAATCTAGCAATTTAACGGGAAGTCATATTAAAAGCAAAAGACATATAAATCGTATACCTAGAGCTGCTGCAAAACTCATAAAGCTTCCCGCGGTTGGAGAAGATGATGAGGGCGACCTCAGCTTCGCAGAGGACCGAGAGCTCATAGGCCTTCTTTAAGAGACCGTTCCGGCGCTTTGCGAAGGTTACTTGCCGGTTGATCTTGTTCTCGATCCGCTTCAACTCCACTCTCCCTCTTCCCATCTTCCCCTAGCTCTTCTTGTATAAACCGATGATCGATGGAAGAGGAAAAGAGAAAAAGAAGCAAAAATGCTGAGTAACTTCTGGCTGGAAGAAGGCAAGTGGTTCCTGCTTTACTATTTATAGGGTGAGAAAGCGATATATGAACACTGTGGGGGCCCTCCCTTCTCATTACCCTAAGAGGGTTCCCCATTTCTCTTTGCTTTTCCACCTTTTGGGCCTGTCGTCGCCTTGTGGGGTGGTGAAAGAGCTGTGAATTCCAGAGAGTCTGGTCCGCGAAGAGAGAGAGACAGAGGAGGGAAACCTTAAAGGCGAAATTATAAAAAGGAGCCTCTCGAATTTATATTTAAACAACAGTAGCGAAAGCAAGAATTAATTATAAAGAGGAGCAGTTGGAATACCGTTCTCGTTAAAGTTCGAATAATGGAAAAAAAATTCAAGTATTCATGAATACGAAATAAGAATTTCGTATTCAATTATATATACTAAATTAAACTTAAAATATGAACACTACACTAAGGCTATATTATGATTCAATTAAAGTTAATTAATGTTTAATTAAATTTAAAAAATGTCCTGTTTAAATTTTAAAAAAATATCCTCATTCAATAAAAAATTTATGAAGATTGAATGAGAATTTTATTCATGGCCTAGTGAATCATAATATAACATTATTTAATTAATCATACTTTAAATTTAATTTAGTACTGAATGCATAATTCTAAATTTTGTACTGATGAATATGAGAATTTGATTCAGGTATTCGAACTTTTAAGGAGTGTGATCAGATTCAAAAAATTTGTATTTGCTCCTCTTTTAAATGATTCTGGCTAATGTTCCTATGGATTAATTATGATTCAATTCTGGCTAATGTTCCTATCGATTAATTATGATTCGAGCACCTACTTTTCATAATTTCACAAAACTTAAACAGAGGGAGTTCTGACGATGGACGATCAAATTGATGGAAATGTGTCCAATGGTGGATGGGCAAGGATTGATAATCTTGGCCGCTACAGACATTTATGACCCCATCGTTATCTTCCGGATGATCTAGTAGACAGCATCAAATCTTCAGATTTGTAGAAATTTGGTATAGTTATGGTTTTTTAGTTGAATGTTCTAGTAAATTGTCTTTTCGAACCTTCGGGCGATTAATCCACCATTACTACAAGTTAGTTTTTGGCTATACAACTAATAGAAAGGATTAGTTGTCCCATCCATAAAATATCTACCAAATCTCAATCATGGATAATTTTTTAAAAATCAAAACTATTTTTGCAGTTGGTTTTTCTCAAAAAGTTCATAAAAAATCTAACTTTTTCAAAAAAAAAAAAAAAAGATTTAATTTTATAGATCATACTGCCAATGTTCTCTCCTCTAATGTGAGCATTTTATGTAGTAGGTGTAAGTTAATAACCTACAATGGCTTGCATTTTTTAAATGTTGCTAGCTATAAATAATCGATAGAAATTTGACGAGAGTTATATATGTAATTCGATACAGTTTATATGGAATACGAATATTTTGCTGATTTTTTTAGTATTTTTGAAGATAGAAAATCATTTATAAGATATGATCAAGTTTCAATCAAAAATGAATTTATGATAAAGTACTTATTATATTTTGTGGCGAGTTTTTCAATCAATTAATATTTACTGACGAAAAATTCATCGTTCATTTCAAAGGATGATCCTTTGTAAATTCATTTCCAACAAGAAAGCCATCACAATATGTCACTAAAAATTTTGAGTCATAAAAAGCAATGATAGAGTTATGACCAAAAATCCAAAATTGAGTTTTGCAACATATTATCTCTTTTGCAATTTATGATGGATTATCCATAAGTTGTTATAAATATATATCAAAAATATCATTGATATATCTACAAAAAATTATCTTGATACAGCACGAATATCAAGGAAAAAATAAGTTGAAAATTTCAAAAATTAAATTTGTGATCGTCCGAACTATGATTTCAGCAAACTTACAGTCGAACTGAATGTCTTGAAAATATGAATCCAACGACACAAAAATTTCACTCAATTTGAGCCCAAATGTGTCTATATCGAAGACCCAAAGCACCTTTAAAAGGTTCAAATCATAATTTGGAACTTTTCAAAGAGTGACATGGTTATAGTCGAATCGAGCGGCTCAACAAGATGAATCCAACAAGGCCAAGATTGTTGAATTCTGACATCATTAAGGCTTGTAATTGCCTAGTATACGGCCCATGATGAAAAGGATCGACAACAGACGTCTATTCAAATGGCTCCCGATTTATCCTTCATCTCTTTCTTATTTATTGGTCATGCTACTATCAGAAAACTATAAATAGATCCATCATTCTTCATTGAAGGGGAGGATCAAGGGAGAAGCAAATAAGAGATGAAAGAGAGAGATAGATCTCTCTTGCCTCCAGACTCCTCGACTACCAACTATCTTAGGACTATCGTCGGACTTTCACCAAGCCACCAACTGATAACGGACTTTAGCCTGTCCGTTGACTAACATCGGACTTTCGCCCGGCCACCAACGGATGTTGGATTTACACCCAGCCATTAACTATCGATGGTCTTTCTAACCTCTGTCACCCGTCGAATACGGTTCTTCTGATCTTCATTGCAAGCAATGATCTTTATGACCAATATTGCTTATCGATAGTGCTTCCGACATCCATCGTTAGACTATAGTCTATCCAACCTCCGTCGCTAGCTGACTATGGTCCTTCTTACCTCCACAACCAGGCAACGATCTTTCTAACCACTTTCGACTATAGTCCTTCTAACATTTGTCTCCATACTAAGGTCTTTTCAACTTCTTTTAGCCGCCGACTACGGTCCATTTGACCTCCTTGGCCAAAAAATGGCCTTTCAAACAACTGTCCCTAGCCGACTACAAACATTCCAACCTCCATTACCATACCAAAATATTTCCAACATTTGTCGCCCACCGACTAAGGTCCTTCCGACCTCCATCGCCTGATAACGATTATTTCGACCACTATCGCCTGATAACGGTCATTTTTTTCATCCTTCACCAGATTATGATCTTTCTGACCTTCATCGTCCATCGAATAAGGTCCTTCAGACCTTTGTCACCATACAATGGTCTTTCTAACCACTATCACTTGCTGAATACGATCCTTTAAAAAATTCTTCATCGTCTGATAACGATCATTCTAACCTCCGTTGCTCGCTGACTATGATCCTTTCAACCACTGTCACCCAACTATGATATTTCTGACCTCCATCACCCGCCGACTATAGTCCTGCTGACTAAATAAACATGTTAGTACTAGTTCTTCCTATTCTCACTATTGATGTAATCTATATGATGTATAATTGCTACATAAAACCATGGCTTTCCCTCAAGGAAGGGCCTCATTTATAATTGACTGCAAATACTAGTGAATTCATTCAAACTAGGTAGGGCCTCGTGATTTTCTTCTCTTTTCAAGGGTTTTCGCGTAAAAATCTTGATGTTTCTTATAAATGTTGCACCCTTCCTTTTATCTAATTGTGTGCTGGATCTTCATATAAAGCTAAGACTTTAAAAACTTTATATTTCTTTACTCGCATGAATATTCCAGAACGCAATAATCATCGACACAAATTATATCGCAATTCGATTTTTTACGAGAGTTTTATCAGTACCTCATGTTTTGTAATAAGATTTATCTAATAACAGAAAAAGATATTTCGAGTAATTTTTAGCCAAAAAATCTTCCACATAAGACATGTCTTTGTGGTGAACTTATTGATTAGAATTTTCTAAACATGGTATACAATCTACATAGGATTTCTATGTAGGCGTGCATGAAGTTATTTCCTCTGTGATTTAGTTGCTGGTAGTAGGGGTAATTTTTTCCACTTATTAATTTACCAATATCTGGTGGTTCTCTGGTTATTGTATCTTGTTGCTGCTTCTCGGGTTTATGACTTTCTATTCTATTTTTTTGTTTTATTTTCTAGGTGCTACAAGTATGGGAATTTTGGTGTTGTTATACACCCAGTTGCTATGATGGTTCTTTTTGGTTATATGAGTGGGAGTTTGTTGCTCCTTATTCTGACCGAGGCTGTTATATTTGCCTTCATTGCTACTGGAAGTATGGCCGACATTTGGTTTGCTACCTAAACTAATTTTTTTAATAACAATTGTTTGACTTTATATATTTATCAATACTGGTTGCATCCTCCTTGTGACTTTTTCCCCTTGTGTTGGAGTTTTTTTTTTTTTTTTTTTGCAGTATTGGAGGCTAGATGTATGTCTTTGCTTTTTTTGCTGGGAGGTCGCATGTTCAAGGTTTTTTTGATAGGTGTGGGATTGCCTACTTTTTTTTGTTACAGGATGTTCATGCTGATTGATTTACTTTTGTTCTTCTTTTTTTGGGTGCTGTCTAGCTACTTGCAGCCCTATATTGTTCTTAGGGATTTTTATAACTCTTAGTATTAGGAAACATCGGCTCTTTAGTTTTCTTTTGTTTTATTTTGTATCTCCTGTGAACACTAGTGAGCTAGAGGTTCTTTTTTAGGACCTTGTAATTCCTTTTTATATTGACCTATAGGCCCCTCCGTGGGTTTTAACAAAAACAAGTTATTTCTTGTATTGATGATTTGTGACTTTTGAAATAAATATAATGCTCTATAGATTTGTTGCAAAAGATTTTCATCATTTGGGTGTAACATGATCTTTTGTTGAAAGCAGATCGACTAGTGATTTGGGAAGACCTAAGTGTGTATTTGCATTGAACATAAATCTTGTGCCTTTTATATTTCTTAGTAAATAGATTAATTTCTTCTCTCAATTGCTCATAAGCAAAATTGAGGTTAAAATATATAATTGTTATTCTCTCCATTTGTTTGATCGCAGTAATTTTTACTTAAGTGGGCGTTCTATTCGTTTCGGATAATAATTATACTTGAAATATTTGATGGTTTTCGCACAATTAAAACAAAAAAGACATTTATTTTATTTGTATTTATTTAAGTCAAATTAACTTAAATAGATTTTGAAAAAAGAGAGAATGTTTAGACTTCCGCCCAACCACCAACATATGCCAGATTTTTGCCCGCCCACAGGCTGACGCTAAACTTCCACTCGTCCATCAATTAACGTCGGATAATTTTTCGGCCACCAACTAACATTGGATTTACACCACATGCCACTAGCTATCGACAGTCTTTCCAACCTTTGTCGCTCATCGACTACGGTACTTCTGACATCCATTACAAGAAAACGATCTTTCTGACCACTACTGCATATCGAGTACTATAGTACCTCTAAACTCCATCATTAGACTACAGTCTTTCCATCCTTCATCGTTGGCCGACTATGGTCCTTCTTACCTCCACAACCAGACAACTGTCTTTATAACCACTATCGTCCATTGACTATAGTCTTTCTAACATCTGTCATCATATTAAGATCTTTCTAACCTCAGTCACTAGCTGGCTATGGTCCTTTTAACCTCCGTCGCTAGACAATGGACTATCTGCCAACTGTCCCTCGCCGACTATGATCCTTACAACTTTCATTATCAGACCACGATCTTTCCGACCTCCGTCGTCCTCCGACTAAGGTCATTCTGATATCCATTGCTTGATAATGATCATTCTGACCACTATCGCATGATAATTGTCATTTTTGACCTCCTTCGATAGACTACGATCTTTCCGACCTTCATCGCATGTTAAATATAGTCATTTTGACCTTCGTTACCATACAATGATCTTTCTGATCACTCTCGCCCACCAATTATGATCTTTTCGATCTCCATCGCTTAATAACGATCATTCTGACTTTTGTCGTTCGTCGACTATGATCCTTTCAACCAATGTAACCCAACTATGATATTTCTAACCTCTATCGCTCGCCGACTATTGTCCTTCCAACCAAACAAACATGTTAGTATGTACTGATTCTTCCAATTCTTACTATTAATGCACTCTATATGATGTATAATTAATACATAAAACCAAGGCTTTCCCTCAATGAAGGGCCTCATTTATAATTGACTGCAAACACTAGTGGATACCTTCAAACTGAGTTAGGCCTCGTGATTTTTTTCCTCTTTTGAAGGGTTTCCATGTAAAAATCTTGATATTTCTTATAAATGTTGCATCCTATCTTTTGTCTGATTGTGTGATAGATCTTCGTATAATGCTAAGACGTTAAAAACTTTATATTTCTCTACCACGCAAATATTTCAGGACGCAATAATCATCGACATAAATTATATTGCAATTTGGTTTTTGACGAGGGTTTTTATCAATACCTCATGTTTTGTTATAAGATTCATTTAATAACAAAAAAAGAGATTTTGAGTAATTTTTAGCCAAAAAAATTTTCCACAAAAAACATGTCCTTGTAGTGAACTTCTTGATTAGAATTTTCTAAACATGGTATACATCTACGTAGGATTTCTCTGTAGACATGCATGAAGTTATTTCTTTCATTGATGATTTGTGTCTTTTGAAACAAATATAATGCTCTATAGATTTGTTGCAAGAGATTTTCGCCATTTGGGGGTAATATAATCTTATTTTGATATATTCTTTAGGTTTATCTTTTGTTGAGAGCTATTTTGCAACGATACACTTATTTATGAAGGCGTATTGTATCTGATACATCGATACATGGATACACCTCATATACGGCACCGATACGTCTCGGATACGCCTTTGTCGTATCCAATTCAAATATTATTTAATTTCAAAAGGACACGAGTATCCGAAACGCTTGTCCATTGAAAAAAAAAAGACTCGTCGTATTTACTTCAGTGGCTGTGATATTAGAAATTTCTACTCATTTCCGAGATGGATTTGAGTCACTTGATGATATGGGGATATTAGAAATTTCTAATCTTTCATTTGATGATATGGGGATATGAGAAATTGTTATTCTCACCACTTGTTTGATTGCACTAAATTTTACTTGAGTGGGCGTTCTATTCGCTTCGGCTAATACATATGCATGAAATATTTGAAGGAATTCGCACAATTAAAACAAAATTGACTACAAATCAACTAACCCTTCAAGGAGATTTATTTTATTTGATTTTATTAAAGTCTGGATTAACTTAAACTGATTATGAAAAAAGAGATAATCAACTTCATGTTTAGTTTGGCGTGGTAATTAATGTGGATTCGACCCATCCTTAAAATATCACCTAAAATACCGTGAAGCGCTCTACTGACTGAAGGGCAAGTGCTTTGGTTGCTTTTCCACAGCAAGCTCAGATTCCGGTATTGCTAGAAGATTAACCGAAGGTTTCTAATTTAAAGGATGTTTTCAAGCGAACTAAAGCTGGACCAGATTTATGGCAGAGAAAAGGACAAACCATACTACTAGAAATCACATTTAACAGGACGCGACTCCGAAATCTTCGAAACATAAGAGAAACCATGCGTAGATTTCTCATTTGTTTGCTTTTCCGACACCAACCAATCACTTCGTCCTTCAATGAAGCTGCACACGAAATCCAATCAACGTCAAGACCGCCGAAACAAAACACTACATCTTTTCAAAGCCAACATGGAGAGAAAGGGAGAAGTAAAAATTTCCCTTCGTTGAACTGACGAAAAAAAAAAAAAACTTAATTATAGGAAAATGGATAATCTTAAGCCGAGTATTGTGTTTTGTACTCTACATGTTAATTGAATTAAGGTGTAAAGGAGTAGAAGGAAAATGAAAAAGAAAGGGCCGGGAGAAAAATGGGCTCAATTTCAAGCTTAGAAATAAACAACTAAATTTTCGAGAAACAGATAAAAGGAACCTTAGGGACATTGAATGACCGCGGGTCTAACTCCTAAAGCAGTATAGATCAGAAAGAAACATGTCTTTCACCTAGTACTGTTGACGCGCACCCAAAGCTTAAAAGACTTTACTTTTTTACACAAATACACAACCCAATGCTTTCAACTTCAATGCACGACCAAAGCCAGCTAGAATCACACAGTTGAATAACCCTAAAACAAAGAGGCTAAAGAGTTAAAAAAACAAGCAAGAAATTAGGAGAGCCTAAAGTAGAACCCAGTTTCAAATGCCATTGGGTTCTTTTTCTCAGCAGATCTACTCCCTTCCTTCCGTCTTTCATCGAAATGGCAATCTAGTAATTTAATGGGAAGTCATATTAAAAGCAAAAGACAGAAATATTATACCTAGAGCTGCTGCAAAACTCATAAAGCTTCCCGCGGTTGGAGAAGATGATGAGGGCGACCTCAGCTTCGCAGAGGACCGAGAGCTCATAGGCCTTCTTTAGGAGACCGTTCCGGCGCTTTGCGAAGGTTACTTGCCGGTTGATCTTGTTCTCGATCCGCTTCAGCTCCACTCTCCCTCTTCCCATCTCCCCCTAGCTCTTCTTGTATAAACCGGTGATCGGTGGAGGAGGAATAGAGAAAAAGAAGCAAAAAATGCTGAGTAACTTCTGGCTGGAAGAAAGGAAGTGGTTCCTGCTTTACTATTTATAGGGTGAGAAAGCGATTTATGAACACTGTGGGGGCCCTCCCTCCTCATTACCCTAAGAGGGTTCACCATTTCTCTTTTCTTTTTTCACCTTTCGGGCCTGTCGTCGCCTTGTGGGGTGGTGAAAGAGCTGTGAATTCCAGAGAGTCTGGTCGTTAAGAAAGAGAGAGAGGAGCGAAACCTTAAAGGCGAAATTATAAAAAGGAGCAACTCGAAGTTATTTTTAATCCATAGGAGCGAATGCAAGAATTAGTTATAAAGAGGAGCAGATGGAATACCGTTCTCGTTAAAGTTCGTATAAAGGAAAAAATTCAAGTATTCATGAATAAGAAATAAGAATTCCTTATTCAATTATATATACTAAATTAAACTGAAAATATCAGTAATTAACTATGGTTATATTATGATTCAATTAAAAGATAATTAATTTTTAATTAAATTTAAAAAATGTCCTGTTTAAATTTTAAAAAAATATCCTCATTCAATAAAAAATTTATGAAGATTGAATGAGAATTTTATTCATGGCCTAGTTTAACTTCTATTAACTCATCTATCGTATACTAAATCTCCTCAGCAAGTTCGATGGACGCATCCCTAACTTGAGATTAATTCATGTTATGTCCTGGAATATTCGCTGCGATAGAGAAACATGAAATTTAATTTCTTAGTTTTGTATGAAGATCCAACACACAAGCAGATAAAAAAGAGGGTGTAACATTCATAAGAGACACGGAATATTTATGTGGAAAAACCTGAAAATGGGAAAAAGCATGGGGCCTAGCCCAATTTGAATGAGTCCACTATTATTTGCAGTCAATTATAAATGTGGCCCTTCCTTAGGGGAAGGCCTTGGGTTGATGTAGATAATGTACATCATATTACGTGGTGGGAATTGACAGAATTAGTATTGAAATGTTCATTTGGTTAGAATGACCATAATCGGTAGACGATGAAGGTCATAAAGACCACTACCTTGCAACGTAGATTAAAAAGACCATTGTCTGACAACAAAGGTTGGAAGGTCCATAGTCGACAAAGGAGATCGGAAGGAACGTAGTCGGTGGGACACAAAGGTTATAAGAACCATAGTCGGCAGGTGACAAAGGTCAGAAAGACTATAGTCTAGTGAAGGTGGTTGGAGGAACCATAGTCGGTGGAGGAGGTCGAAAGGATTGAAGTTGGCAGGTGACGAAGGTTGAAAGACCGTAGTTTGGTGGTGGTGGTGATCGGAGGGACCGTAGTTGATGGAGGATGTTGGAAGGACCGTACTCGACAGAGGAGGTCGGAAGGATCATACTCGGTGGGTGACGAAGGTTGGAGGTGTTGTGAATTTGGATTCAAGAATTATAATTTTGATGATAACAAACTGTTCTGACACTTCTTCTTTGTTTTTCTACGACTGTCTTGCCTTATAACGTTTCAGAACCACAAGATCAAATTGCAAATCAAACCAGCTCAAGATTAGGAAGATTTGGACCGAGTCAATTTGTAATGTACGTCAAGTGTCTTTTATCTTTTCTTGAGTCAATTATATCGATTCCTGATGCTAAGTAACCTTGCACATATACACTAAGTGAAGAAATTATATCTATTTTTAGAGTTTTTTTATTTTTGATCACATCATCCGGGATGATCCAAAGTTATCCTAGACGACCAGTCAAAAAATAGAAACTCTAATTAGGACATCTTGATTAAGGTAGCTACAATTAAGCAAATCATCCTGGACAATATTAGCATCATTCGGGATGATTGGCTCAAATAAAAAAGAATTAGCCATCAGATCTATTTAGACATATTTTATTTTTGGACTTCGTTCAAAACATCAGCATGGACGATGCAGAGCAATTATGCCTAAATAAGTCTGATAATTAATATTTGATTGCTGGATCATATCATCCTGGATAATCGCAGGATCATCCAGGAAGATCGGATAAATAAACCTTAGTTTCTTCCTAGACGACGAGAACGATATTCTGGATAATGTGTATTATTTTTATACTAATCATTCGGGATGATCCCAAATCATCCTGGACGATCAGTTATTTTTCCATCATCCAAACATGTAATCATGGCGATGTGTTGGATGATATTTGTCATTTTAAACTGATCGTCTGGGACGATCAGTTTATTTTTCCATTGTCCAAACATGCATTCAGAGCGATATTTTGAACAATATTTAACAATTTAAACTAATCATCAAGGATTATATAAATATCGTCATAGATAATAAAGTCAGTTTGTTGCAATTAAAAGTAAATTTATAGCTCTTCTATTTAAGACTTCTTGTTTACTTAAAAGTGTGTCTTTTATTTTTGTATTAACTTAAGAGAGCTAAGAGGAGAGGGAGAGGTTGAGAGAAAGAAAGAGAGGATCTTGTGAGGGGGAGTTTGTGAAGAATTTCACAAAGGTTGCTCCAAGCAAGGATCCGAGTCGTCTTCTCTGATCGTCATCCCTAATTCCTCTGAGGTTCGAGAGAGGTCTACTTCAGCAAGTGATTAAGGTTCTCTTCCTACTTTAGAGGAAGTGAAAGGAGTCGGATTCTTTGCCTGCTTTAAGAGGAAGCAAAAGGAGTTGGATTCTCTGCCTCTCTGGTGTCAGTGGAAAAGAGATTTGTATAGGTTTCTTCGCCTTAATATGGGAGCAAAGAGAGAGTCACTGAGTTTAGTATAATACCCAGAGGAGAGGCTCCGAGGAGTAGACATAGGTCAAGTTGACCGAACCACTATAGATTTTTGTGTGTTCTTTCTTACTGCTTTTTTGCATTTAATTTCTACACTTTGATTTTTTTGTGGTGAATTTTTGTTCGGTTTAAGATTATATTTTTTATTAAGAAAATTTTAAAAGTTTGTTAGGGATATTAAGCCCTTATGAATTAGCCCAAGCTAACTAAGAGGGGGGGTGAATTGGTATTTTAAAAAATCTTTCAATCAAAAAATAAAATTTTAACCAACCAAAATTCATCACAAAGAAATCGTACAAAAATTAAAGAAAGAAAAAATTAGTAGAAAAGAACACAAAAATTTATAGTATTTTGATCAACTCGACCTACGTCCATTCCCCGGAGGCATCCTCCAAGTATTGCACTAAACTCAGTGACTCTCCATTTGCTCCCACAGCAAGGCTGAAAAGCTTGAATAAAACCTCCTTTCCACCGACACCGGTGAGGCAGAGAACTTAACTCCTTTTACTTCCTCCTGAAACAGGTAGATAACCTTGATCGATTGCTGAAGTGAACCTCTCTTGAACCTCCAAGAACAAGGGACGACGATTGGAGAAGACAATTTGGATCATTGCTTTGAGCAAACTTTGTGAAACCCCTCACAAACTCCCCCTTACAAGATCCTCTCTCTCTCTCTCCCTTTCTCTCCCTCTCCTCTAAGCTCTCTCAGGTCAAGACAATAACAAAAGATGAGCTATTGGGTAGAACAAGAGCTCTTAAATAGAAGAGTTTTGGAATAGCTCTTATTTTATACAAACCTACATTATTATCTAGGACGATATGGATATCATCCTGGACGATCAGCTTAAATTTCGCTCAATCAGCCTGGACGGTTTGGGATGATCAGAAGATTGTTGTTCATATCGTCCAGGTCGATAGGATATTATTATATTATGATCAGTATAAATCCTTTAATATTGTCCAGATAATCGCTCTGAAAGGATGTCTGGATGATGAAAAAATAACTTGATCGTCTAGGCTGATCTTATAATCGTCCTGGATGATTAGTTCAAATCCATGAAAATTGTCCAGAGAATCGCCCTGAAGGCAGCTGGCCGATAAAGACCGTCCAGGAACAACTAAAGTTTTTTTAGAATTGATCGTCTTGTCCGATCCTATGATCGTCCATGACGATTGGATCGAGTAATCAAAACCCTAATTGCTTTTATTAATAAGTAGATTAATTTAGGCATAATTATATTATATTGTCTAGGGCGATGTATAGGATGATGTCCAAAAATAAATAATACCTAAACAGATCTGGCGGCTGATTTTTTCTGATTTGAGCCTATTGTCTTGGCCGACATAAATATCATCCAAGATGATGAGCGTAATGACGGCTGCCTTAATCAAGATTCCCTAATTTGGATTTATAGTTTTAACAGATCATCCAGGATGATGTTTGGATTATCCCGAATGATGTGATCAAAACAGAGAACTCTAACTAACAGATAGAAATTTTTCCTCATGTGTGTGTACAAGGTTACTTAGCATTGGAAACCACATCATTTATAATAGACTCAAGAAAGGGAAAAAATTACAAACTGACTCAGACCTAATTTACCCAATCTTGAGCTGGCTTGAGTTGCACTTGATCTTATAGACCTGAAATGTTAGTGGGCAAGGCAGTCGTAGAAAAATATGAATGTTTGTTATCATCAAAATTCTAATACATAAAATTAGATTTACAACAATCTCTCCCTTTTTGATGATGATAAACAAAAAAATAATATAAACAGTTCAAGGCAGTTTAATGGAAATAGATAACTTATTTAATAACTGAATTAAACTACCGAATAAATAGTATAACTAACTACTCCTCCTTTTGAAATCATAAAAGGAAGAGGGAAACTAAACAAGAAATAAAACAGATACTACCAAATATAATTAAACTACAATAAAAAAATAACGTAAAAAACTAAAAGAATGATGCCCCCCTGATCATTTGAAGGAGGTCTTGGTGGAGGTGGATGTGGCTGAAAGTAACTTGAAAGAGTGACGAACTTCTCTTCAAACCAGGCCATATCCTAGTCGTGCTGATGTTGCAGGCGAATAATGTCCTCAGTATGTTGCTTCTCCTATGCAACAACGTATGCCTCCAAGCAAAGCTCCCAGTGGTGCAATCTCTCCGCCATCTGATCCAGCTGAGTGTTGACGAAGCA